AAATATGTCAATGTTTGTATATGATTCCATTCTTACAGTACATGATGTATTTTGCATTTTTCCAGTAGTAGACATACCTTATATCCCCACCTTCATCCAATTAACAGCCTTACAGGAATGTTTTCAGGCAAATGTTTGAAGAATGTTTGAAGATTCAGATACTCAAATCCAAAGAAGAATTGAGGGTGGTGCTAGAAAGGAAGGGATGAGTCAACCTGGGTGACGTATAGCACCTTGAAACACGCAATATTCCTATGTTTCCTTGAGGCTTCCTCACCCCAACCCACCCCCAACTATCAGGACACACAGAATCCAGGCCCGATAAACCCTTCAGAAACAGAAATGTGAGTAGCCATACTAGGAGGGTAGGGGAAAGGTTGGAAGAAGGGGGAGAGAAGAAACCGTGGGGGAAGGGGGACAACAGTCAGCATAAGATATGAAAATAATAATAATTTATAATTTATCAAGAGGTCACAAGGGTGGGAGGTGGGGAGTGAGGGTAAAATGGGGAACCAATACCAAGGGCTCAAATAGAATGTAAATGTTTAGAAAATAATGATGGCAACATATGTACAAATATGCTTGATACAATCAATGTATGGATTGTTACAAAAGCTGTAAGAGCCCCCAATAAAATGATCTTTAAAAAAATCTCTATAGAATAGGAAAGTTTTCATGATTTGGGGGGCGGAATGTAATGAGGACCAGAAAAACATTACGTGTAATAAAGTTTAGAACTCAGTCCGCCAGTACTGAGCTGTGCTTCATCGCAGAATAGAATAAAAAAGATACAATTTTAAAAGGCATAGGAAATATGCTATCAATTACACCTTGACCAAAGCCACTTCAATACTTTCCTCCTTGAATTTACAAGACTCCATCAGTGCAGTTTAGACACATGGTGAGGAGCTACATCAATCAGATTTGGCTAGTCCAGACCAACATAATTCTGGGACTGGAAGCTACAAATGTTTATTTCTCATTCATACCACTTGCCCATCATGAGTCAGACTCAGATCTAATGCATGCTATCCTCACTGCACACTGAAGGAGCAGAATTTCTCTGGGACATTCTGGTCTGTGACAGTTACATAATCTCCTGTCAACTTGTGAAAGGGTGGAGTCTAGCCTGTCAATCAGGTCGCAGCTTGATGGCCTCATTTGGAGGCACCACAGAGGTCAAAAAGCTCACTAGAAGCCAAATACTCTCACTCTCTTTGCTTGGTCTGCTTGCAAGACATTTCTGTTGACAAGCCACATGGAGCTATGCTGATGGCAACCAGAGCCTTAGAGCTGGAGAAGCCCTGTTGAGACCCACCCTGGCTCTAAGATGATTCCACCACCACTGGATCCACAAGACTTTCCACCCACTGGCTTGTATCTTCCTGCACTCAGTGTCATTGTATGTGTTGCATGAGTCTGAAGAGGAATTTACAGACCGGTATCAGACATATGGGCATTTTAATATCAGACTTACGGTCTTGATCTGGCCTGGGCTGGAATGTTTTCCTCAATATTCAATTGCTCTTTTATATAAAGCTACTTCTTATACACATATGAGTATCTATGAATTTGATTCTCTAGACAGCCCAGACATACATTTTATGGTACCTTGGGAGTGGTGTATTAGAGAAACAAATCATAAAGATAGAGAGTAGATGCTTGTTTGAACTCTGCCTCATGGTAGGTTGTTTTCTGGCAAGAACATGAGAAGTTAAACTTTTGATCACTTCCCTTGGTTGTTGTCTTTGGTTATTCCTGTTTGAAATGGTGAAAATGAATGTAATTATGTATATTTTGAGCTCAGGAGGCAAAATCGCCATTTGAATTTCTCAAAGACCCTGCTGCTTCATGAAAATGGCTGACAGAAAGTCTGGTCCTGGATTAATTCAGTCAAAGCCTTAAAGCCATATTTTGTATCAATAGAATAGTTTAGTTAAGGATTAAGATAAGTTAGCTAAGGCTTGAACTTGACTGTTTCAAGAATTGAATCTAGGATCTGATTCTACTTTGTTTATACTGATTTCTTCTGCTTATTATTGTTGATATAAGGATTGATAGAAATTATTATTGGGAAGTATAAATATAGAGTTTGTAAGGCTTGCATTCAGCCATTAAAATTTGAATCATAAATGGGTTTAGGACACTTCTGCAAAGTGGGCTCTGAAAAGATAAATCCCACCCAGTGTCTTGAGTGCTAAGGGCATTCAAAGGTGAACAGACTTGCCTAGGGAGTTGTTGAAAGATTAATGGGGAAAAAAAAGAACTTTGGACTTTTGAATGTTGAACTAGTGGTTTTTGTCAGAACCTGGAAAAAATCTGGAACCATGAAAAAACTCTTCTCTAGGACTGAATGTTAAAGGGAGGCTGTGGCAGCCTGTAAATGCTTGCTAGTTGACCACCTGGATCCACTTGTTGAGTGGAAGTGGTAGAAAAGCAGCAATAGAGAGATGGGTTGAGTCTGGCCACTGACACCCATGGACCTGGTTTACAGGAACTAGAGGGGAAGATGAGAGCAGGTTGACTGGTCTGAAGTTCATGACCCAGCCCGAGGGGGTAAGGTTGTTAATAATTTGTGACTGGGCCCGTGGTCTACCGTTAAGCTACCAATGGGAACCCTGGTGAGGCTAAGTGAGGCAGCCTACACTGAGTTGACCAGAACCCAACCAGAAGAAGAGAAGATTTTTGCACCTGTGAATTGGTGCATATTGCTGCTGGCTTTATGGACAGCCTGTCCTGATTTGACTTTGCTTATGGATCCAGGCTCACAAGGTTCCAACTGGAATGAAGATTCTTCACATGATAGAATATGATTGTCTCCTCAGAGCAGTGGGTTGATGTAAATGGGCAGTATAGAAATTGGATACCCAAAATTGGGCAGATAAAGGCACGAAATGACTGGCTCACAAATGTTCATAGGTGGGAGAAAAGATTTATAGACTTTTAAGATTATGGTGTGGGTGTTGACTTAATTGCAATTGTTAGGTATAGAATATTTTTGTTTTCTTCATTTAGACAATATTATGTTTAAATAAGGCTGGCACATATTGAGTTATATGCAGTTTAATTTTATCCTATTAGGTACAGATTTGATTTTATTATTGTCATATTGTATTATTCTTACAAATAATGGTAAGTGTGATGATTTTGTGGTTCACAACTAGTTTTTTCATTTTTAACCATTCTTCATTATTTTAATACTATTAGAGTACCTAATGATAACAAGCTCATTATTATGTGATTATTATTGGTTTCAAGTCTAAAAACGGTGCTTGCATTTTTCAAGTATCTGGTTAATTTTCTCCTTAACTAGCCCAAAATGATGAAAAAGGTACCTGAGTATCTGACACTGAGGAATCATGGATGTGACTTAAAACAAGAATGATGGAACCTAGCATACATCTTTTGGGTTTTTCTTACTGTTTCATTTTCAGAATATTATTTTTGTCTTTTAAAAGGTTTTTCAAATCAGGGTGAATTCATTTAACCGCTGTATGTTGAAACTTGTGTTAAGACAACACCCCAATGTGTATATTACAGGGGTTTCCTCTGTAGGCAGGTGTTGGAATGGGCGATTTACCCAAAGTTTTCTGTAGCTTGCATTTATACCTCACTGGTAGGACAGAGCATGCAGAAGTATGTTGTCTGAATTTCATCAGATTGGACCTGCCCTTTATAGTGCTGCTAGGTCACAGGAGTCACAGAATTTGTCACAATTTAACAATTATATATTCCTAATTTTTGATTGAGCCAACAGGGTATTTCAACAATAAGAAATGGGCATTTTATATATATATATATATATAAAAATAAAATATATAATATATATATATTGTTATCAAAGTTATGCAGCCTGAATAACTCTTAGCTGACTTAAACTCACTGTTCACACTGAATCGCAAGATTTTAAAGGCAACATAAAATAGTAGTAATGAGAGCAGACAATCAAAAGAATCTTCAGGGAATACAATCTTGTTTGGTGTCACAAGTTGCACACATGCATCTGAGAGCTCTTCCCATCTGTAAGTCCAGCCGTCTTTCCTTTATGGTCTGAGTCAATGATGTTTAGAAGTTTCTCCAGATAGCCAATCTTTTATGTTATTTCTCCATTAGAAATTCACTTAACCAAATCACATTGTATGCTTAAAGTCACAAGTACCACATATTTTGTCCCTGTTTTGACCCATTAGCATGCTATTTCCAGATGACTAATATTGGGCTATTTTGATTGACCAGAAATCCTTTTTCAGAGCCCCGTGTTGCTGTTGACAAAGGTGGTTGTCCCTGGAGCGTGAGCCTGTGACCTTGTGCCCACGGCGAAGAGCTGAACTATGAATCCACGCGTACAAACCTCAGAGAGTTTCATTAGTTTTCTAATGCAATTCTCATTAACTTTTTAGTGTTTTGCCTTATTTTTCTCTGAAATTGATTCAAACTTGGCAAAATGAAGACTTTAAAATATCGTCTCTCAGCTGCAATATTTTACATGTCTAGCTATTACTTCATTAGAATAAATCTAAGTAATCCTTATTTTTGATTGCCTCACATTTTGCCCATTTCGCCCGACAAGACCGGCTTAAAAATCATCCACACTTCATTTCTTGCAACTTTAATCTGCTCATTTGACAATTTCCTTTACACTCTGTACCTATCACAGCAGTTTATGATGCCTGTAGTTCTTGGCCCATCACCAAGCGTCCCCCTAGTGGTAAATAAAAGAATTTCCCTATCTATGCTGGCAACGTGATCTGTCTAAAGAACACGAGGAATATGGTAAAATAAATTATCTCACAACATAATTGAAATGCCTTTATAAAAGGCATTAATTACTTTAAAGGCATTAAATGGAATTTAACTACTGAACTATTTTCCCCTATTTCTGCCTCTATCCCCTGAGAAATCAAGGAGATAGCGATTGCTGCCATGTCTAGCAGTCATTTTTCTGCGTCCATGGAAATCCATGCTCAAACTTCTTTCAATTTTTCCTTTTGAATTTCCAGCTCCCAGTCAGCCACCGGGAAACGTTGTCTGGAATGCGACGGAAACGAAAGTGTTGCTCCGCTGGGAGCACGTTCAAGCAATGGAGAACGAATCCGCAGTCACGGGGTATAAAGTAAGCTGCCTTCTTTACAATGCGTCCTTTCCCTCCGGCTGTGGCTACTTTCCTGGAGAACTGGGGATCGCCGGATTTTTCTAAGTGTTGTTAACATAGTTCTTTTTCCCAAAATGATTTCTTAAATAATAAGTGGAGCTATTCTGCTAATGTGGGGGCTTGGGTACAACGTGCTTCAAATTATTCATTAGCTTAATCAGTCTTGTTACTTTTAATGCTCACCCATATACCACTTGGTTAAAACAAGTGCATTGGTCCTCATTCCTTGGCTGCAATTCAGGGCCCATAGTGTATGGCCATGCCCTGTATTTCCAGCTACACAAAAGCTCCAGCAGAACTCTTCTGTAAAAATTGTTTCTTGTTCAAATCCTTGAATCTGAAAGCCTGATTCTACTTATGCTAACACTAGTTAAACACCTATGGGCTGGACTATGAAAGGAGCTTATGTTCCAGTGGGTACACCCAAATCTACTTCCTTTGAGTACATTTCTGCTCATAGTGATGCTATACAGGGTTTCTGAGACTGTAGCGCTATACAGAAGCAAACTGCTTCATTGTTCTCTTCTGGGGCAATTGATGGGCTTGAACCACCAACCTTTGTGGCAGCAGCTCAACACCTGATTCACATTGCTACCAGAGGTCATTTTCAGCATAGAAAGACAAAATAAGTAAAGTTTATTTCAGAGGGATACACACTTATCAAGAAACTAGAACTGAGTAATATAATAAGTAAGTAATCAGTAATAATTTGTTCATGAATCGTAGGTTTTCTATAGGACTAGCAGTCAACCTGATGTCCAAGTATTGAACACGAATAAAACTTCGGCTGAACTTTTGCTGCCCATTAAAGAGGACTACATTATTGAAGTGAAGGCCACGACAGAAGGCGGGGATGGGACCAGTAGTGAACAGATCAGGATTCCAAGAATAACCAGTAAGTTGGATGAAGTTGCTATTTCCACATGGACAACATCATTCCTGTGAACGTTTTTTTTTTCTGTCAGTATGTCAATCAGAGTAAACCAGCATCCCTCCATCCTTTCTTTTCCCCACTTTCCACCTAGATGCGTGAGAAGGTTTTTGGAAAGTGAGACAAGCCAAATGGAACTCCTTCAGAGTGATATAAAATAGGGAGAGAAATGGGATAAAAAGACCTCAAAAATATTGAGCAAAACTTTACCAACTAGAATTTTTTCTCATTCTGAGCTGTGCCTAAATATTCCTATAAAAATGGATTTTCAAAAACATTTATACAAGGCAATACTGAACCCACCAACTGTTTCTAAGCCCGTTAATCGTGTAATTATTTGCCTCTGTTTCATTCTTTGTTGTGTGGAGAAACAAAAGCAGTCAGAGATAGGTCGATGATAGATAGGTAGTAAGATAGATAGATACTTATATCAAATAAGTGACTCACACAGTTGTAGAGATTGGAAGGTTCCAAATCTGTGGGTCAGCTGTTAGGCTGGAGTCTTCTCTTGACTTCTGTATTGTGGCAAGTCAGAAGGCACACTCCTGGCTTCAGAGTCCAAGGATGACAGCTGAGATGATAGGCTGCTCATGACTCCCAGGGTCAACAGGCAATACAGCAGGCCTCTGTCTCAAGTTCAATGAACCAGGGGTCAGAAGATGAGCTGGATGCAGGATTGATACACATCATAAAGCAATCAAGCATCTATTTCTGTTGCAAGCAGGCTACTCCCCTGAGGAAACTTACTTTTGACTTATTGACTGCTCATACCAGATGTCACTATGGAAGTGACTGTATTTTGTTAGATCACATCATAGGATATGACTAGGTCTTTACTGCCAAAGGTTTGAACATCCTGAGCCAGTGAAATTCTCACAACACCTTAATTAGCATAATCTCCCATAAATTACAGATGATTCTCATCAGTTCTATTAAACTAGAAAAATTAAATGAATGTTGTTAAAGTCATAAATCATCTATGTTTGCCAAAACAAAAGATATATTTTTGAAATTCTGAGTTTCAGATCCAAGGAGTTTTGCATAAACTTTTCCTTCCAAAATGCAAGTGAAATCTATTTTACATAAATTCTATAGTAAAGTTTTGTGCAATGTGTTTTATCGGGAATAGTGGGAGAAGAAATTATATCTTCTTTTTTTCAATTCTGGAGTTTTCAGGTCTCAATCCAAATACTTGAGAGGGGGTTTTGTGCTCATTGTCTAGCCTCTACTTTGTAATAGTATGAATAGCGTTGTTCTCATTTCCTTTTCCCTGATCTTGGCCTAATCTATAGTACTGGACAGGCACAGTTAATTTGTGGGGAGGAGACGTGAAAATAACTGACATCATTAGCAGCCAATGAGAAAGAAGGGGGTTATCTTTGCCTGCAATTATAAAGACTAATAGATTGACACAAAAAGAAGAAAACAAAAGCTACTTAACTGAGAAATGCCAAAGACATTTCTAAAGCTGCATGTAATTCAATAGAGAAAAAAAAACAGGAATAAACATAAGCTTTTTTTTCCTTCACGTTTTAAGGTAAGACATGTTCTCTTGTCCCTAGAATAGTGCAGTGCAGAGGTCAGGTTACAATACAGGCAAAGCGGCCCTGTTAAGAGGAGTAGAATCCCTGGTTATGCAAGGACAGTCATGTTTTTGTATTTTAAGACTGCTGAGTCAAGAGTAGCCTTTTCATCTGACATCTGCAGTCTTGCTGAGCTTGCAAAAGCCAGGGACTGAACAAGGTCTCCTTATGAAAATGAAGCTTTTATTGATTGGTTTTTAAAATAAAGATGATGTTTTATATTGTGGATAATAAATAATGTAGAAATGCAAAAAATATGTAAATGTATATCATATCTCCTAACCCCTTCATCAATGCACACACACACCACATACACACACACACAAGGCTGATACTCCTAACTCATCAATGAAAGCATTCTGTAATTAAACCATTAAATTATCTCAAAATGATGTGTGGTAGAGTACTATTGTTTTTCAAAATGATTAACTTGTTTTTTTCCCCAAGTTTAATTAAAGTTAAATGACATTAGATGAGCAAAGCATAGTTTAAGGAAAGTTCAACACATAATTTTTTTTAGATGCTAAGCTGTGCATAAGTAAGAGGGGGCAAAAAAAAGTTCATGGGAAAACTGGAATAAAAAGATAATGATCTTTTTTTCTGTGAACTTTTAAAAAGCCCCCCTGGTATATGCTAACATAATATAATATACTAGCTGCTACACTGCTAAATGACAGGGAGGCTAATAAATGCTAAATGACAGGAAGGCTAATAAAGTGTCACCAGGTGAGGCATATGTTGTGGTTCAGTTTTACTATGTAAGAGGCTGTGGTTACTTGTGTTAGGACATTCCAGAGTGATGAGATGTTTTCCTCTTTAATAGGTATGGATGCAAGAGGATCGACTTCGGCCATCTTGAATGCCCAACCTCTGTCAAGCTCTCTACTCATAGTTTTGTTTATTGTAAATGCCCTGTGGTGATAGTCCTAGTTTTTATTTCCTGGAAAATTAATTGAATACAAAAAAAAGTGCTTTCATGAAATGCAGTAATTATGCATGTTTTTTTATGTCTGTATTTTTAAATTTCTACATCGTTATGGGTAAAATATAAATACAATTATGAAAAAAACAGTAAATCCTTTTAGGTGAATCTGAAATGCCTTAATCTTTACCCGATGAACCAAAGGAATTTACATATTACATACTTCAGACTTTTTATATCAATGTTCTTAAACTTTGAGTTTAAGCACTGCCTACAGATAGACACCACTACTCCAACCCCCAATTTATATAAACATACGGGTTTTGCTTTTTGTTTTTCATTTGGGGTGGGGGAGGGGAAACCTTACAATGATAAGCCAAATATTATTTTCTTATAACAACATTTTTAGAAAGACTTAATCAGGATTCTTTCAAAATGATCATTTTCATTTCCAAAGGTAGAAAATACATTGTCATTGGAAAAAATGGCATGTGATACCAGAGTGTCCTGTGAAAAGTCCAGAGGTGCCTCAGAAGAGAGACCTGGAGAGTGAAATGGTTCCGAAAAGTCACAACCTTAAAAACACTATGGGGCATCTACTTGCACCCATGGAGTCTCTGAGTCAGAATCCAATTGCCGGGGACTAACCACGGAGCTTAAAGGGGTCTTTTTCAGTGTAGAAGACCACCAAAGAGCGGTGAGCCTCTTCACATACCATTTTATGCTCTACTTGTCTCAATTACTCAACTATAAAACATGGAGATAATTGTACCCACTGTGTCTGCTGCTAAGAGGAGCCCTGGTGGCACTGTGGGTTAAATGTTGGGCTGCAAACCTCAAGGTTAGCTGTTCAAATCCACCAGTGTCTCTGAGGGAGAATAATGAGACTGAAAGATCCCCTGAAGATTTTCAATCTCAAGAATGCTGTAGGGCAGTTCTATCCTGTCCTATGGGATCACTATGAGATTAAATTGATTACATGGCAATGGATATGATTTTTAGTTTCATCTGCCTCCGCCCATGAGTTCTGATAACAGATCAAGAAGGAAATGTTGGCATGAATTCATTTAACCATATAAAGCCGTGGCAACCAACCATGTATTTAAAATCTATTTTGCACATTCATCCAATGATATTATAAGATGTAAATGTCCACATTTTATCCTTTCCTACAAATTACAGAGAAATTTAACTAATAATTTTTCTTCCCTCCCCCACCCCAAACACCTATGAATAAGCCTTCAGGTTTTATTAAAGTATGGTGGTATAAATAAAAGAGGACCTTAATCTAAACCGAAGTATTATACAAAATTCACACTAGTCTTCATTTCCCATTTCTGATTCCATTAAGGGACCGTCTTCTTTTTGGATGTCAGGGATGATATTTTTAGTGAAATCCAACTCTCGATCTGAGTGAGTCTGGCAGGCTTTTGAGTTCCTGAGTTAAATTTGTAATAGAACCATGGCAGTGTTGCTGACTCTGGTATGTATGATTCAGTCTTTCAATATGTGGTTTTCATATGATTGTTGGAGACGTGACTTCATAGCAATAGGTAAAGAATATATGAAATCCGGCAGATTGAGTATTAGACACTGAAAAATTAATTTTTACCTCTTTCCTACCACTTTCACATTTTTCAGGAACATGTATATTTCCAAAGTTATCAGAATTTGAAAGCAACAATTACGACATCAAGGTTTACATTGGTAAAATTCTGATATCACCATAAACCATGTCTTCATTTAGAGATTACTCTTAAGGTAAAGTCATTGTGTACAAAGGGGAAAGATGTTTATAACTTTCTCTTCAAGGTTTGTATATATTGTATATATCTAGGAAAAAAATTCGCAATGTTTAGTAGATTTCATATGGCCATTGTTATTTGCATTTAAAAAACTGGAAAAAAGCTTTCTCTAATAACTTTTATTTTATGCTATATGTAATATACCTTTTTATTTAGTAATTCCTATAATCTGTTCCTATATCGTTCTTTTATGAAGATGATTATTCTGTTGTTTCATGTCATTCACAGCAATATATCTCCATGAGATAATACTTTGTTTCATATTGAAAAGTATGAATTTTACCTTTAAACTCCTGTGTGTGTATCCTATGGTTATCTGTATGTATTATTTTCTATTATTAAAATAAAGTTTATAATGATAAAATATCCTTGCATTGTTAATTTCATGATAGCCAAAAATATATCATCTGGGAGGAGAATGAGATACTATAATAGTTATGCTGATGTTACCATTTCATATGTGTTTTAGTAAATTTTTAGCTTCTTGACCTCTCTTTTAGCAGGATTTTTTAAGAATATTTTTATAACCTACTGACTCAGTAAAATCAGCAATCTGAGACAATGACTTATACATTAGAGGTAGTCTAGGTATGAAGGACATAGAAGGAGGCAGGAAATAGTCAATTCGGTGTATAGAATTAAGATCTCCAGTTTCTCCTAATTTTATTTGGGTAATGGTAACTACTCCCACGTACTTGTTCATTATTGAATCTAATGTTTTTATTAACTAATCAAGTTCCTCATAGATTTTCTCAGTACAACACTAAGATACTCAGTGGCAAGAGTGTTAAATTCAGACTTGCTTTTTGTGGTATGACGTATTCTAGTAGTTGAAAATATAAAAGGACATTCTAGAAAAAATAGTTTTAAATTAATAAATAGCTAAATGTTATGGTTGATGCAATGAAAATTAGAGCCAAAGTAATTGAGTTGTCTTTTTAGATGAAATTTTAAAATGTGTTTAGAGGTAGGTGAAAGAAATTAAAACAGTATCTATAGATAACATTGGGTGTGATTATAAATTTAATTACACTTGAAACAGGCACATTGTTGCTATTAGTTTCCACCAAGTCAGCTCTAATTCCAGGTAAATCAGAACATAAATCAGAACAAAACATTGCCTGCCTGTACCATACTATCTTCATGTTATTGGCATGGTATGTTAGGCTGAGTTGAGTAGAGAAACAAAACCAGTGATATTCATATATGTGTAATAAAGAACTTTATGTTAAGAAGTAATTACCACATATACTTGTGTATAAGCCGAGTTTTTCAGCACACTTTTAATGCATTTTTTGTGGTAAAATTAGGTGCCTCGGCTGATATTTGGGTTGGCTTATATTCGAGTATATACGGTATATATCAAGAAAACATCCCAGCCCAGTCCAACTCAAGTGCATAAGTCTGATACTAGTCCATAAGTCCCTCTTCAGAGTCACAATCACAACCAATTATACAGAATGCAGGAAGATCACAGATTGGTGGGTGTACATTCATGTGATCCACACAGGTTGGTGGGTGTAAAGCCATGTGACCCATGGCAGTGGAAAACATCATGGTGCTCTGGCAGCTTTCCTGGTCAGCATGCAGGGAGTTGAAGGCAGAGAGAGGTCATGGGTGGGAGTGGGGATGGGGCTGGCATTCAGAGAGCTATGTATCTGGGTTGCACCTCCAAGAGAGGTAATCAGGTTGCAACCTAATTGACAGGGTAACTCCATCCCTACACCCTTATATATCTTCAAGTTGGCAAAAAATTATATACCTAGCACACATGGAGTCTGTTGTTGCAGACACTATGTATTCTGGCTGGCTTTCAGCCTAGTGATTTGCTCATCTTTTAGCACTGTGTTAGACAGTAGTCTGTTGTGACCCCTAGGATTTACATTGACTAATTTTCAGAAATAGATTGTCAAACTTTTTGTTCTAATCTGTGCAATATAAAAGTTCTACTGAGGGAGTACTTGAGTGGAGGCCCAATGTCCTTCTGCTACCTTAATACTAAACCTATAAATGTAGGCTCATAGATCTATTTCCCCATCCTCATATAAATATATTTGCATATGTACATTGGCATTCTATGATGCTCACCTTCCCGACACAACCGCTGAAGACAAAGCAGGAGAATAAGCAAATGTGGTGAAGAAAGCTGAAGGTGCCCGGCTATCAAAAGATATAGTGTCTGGGGTCTTAAAAGCTTGAAGGTAAACAAGCGGCCATCTAGCTCAGAAGCAACAAAGCCCACATGGAACAACATATCAACCTGTGTGATCACGAGGTGTCGAACGGATCACTGAAGACAAATGGGTGCATAAGCAAATGTGGCGAAGAAAGCTGATGATGCCCAGCTATCAAAAAGTATAGCATCTGAGGTCTTAAAGGCTTGAAGGTAATCAAGCGGCCATCAAGCTCAGAAGCAACAAAGCCCACATGGAAGAAGCACACCAGCCTATGCAACCACGAGGTGTCGAAGTGATCAGGTATAAGGCATCATCAGAACAAAAAATCTTACCATAGTGAATGATGGGGGGAGTGCGGAGTGGAGATCCAAAGCCCATTAGTAGGCCACTGGAGATCCCCTTGCAGAGGGGTCTCGGGGAGGAGATGACCCCATCAGGTTGCGATGTAACAACGATGAGAATACAACTTTCCTCTAGTTCCTAAATGTTTCCTCCCCACTCCCACTACTATGACTCGAATTCGACCTTGCAAGTCTGGCTAGACCAGAGTATGTACACTGGTACAGATAGGAACTGAAAATACAGGGAATCCAGGGCAGATGAGCCCTACAGGACCAGTGGTGTGAGTGGCGAAACAGGGAGGGTAAAGGGAGAGTGGGTAGGAAAGAGGGAACCGATTACAAGGAACTATATGTGACCTCCTCCCTGGGGGACAGACAACCGAAAAGTGGGTGAAGGGAGACGTCGGACAGGGCAAGATATGACAAAATACCAATTTATAAACTATCAAGGGCTCATGAGGGAGGGGAAAAATGAGGACCTAATGCCGGGGGTTTAAGTGGAGAGAAAATGTTTTGAGAATGATGTACAAATGCGCTTTACACAATTGATGTGTGTATGGATTGCGATAACAGTTGTATAAGCCCCTAATAAAATGTTTAAAAAAAAAAGAAGGTAGAAAAAAAAATGTTCTACTGAAATCTGCCTACCATGCATGACTTTGCTGGTATTTAAAATACCACTCTCAGACTTTCCAGAGTCATAGCAACATGCAGTCCACCACAGTACAGTAAACTAAGCCATGGATACATTATACTGTATACATTATACAGTATAAATGGATTATACTGAGGAGGAAGGACTTGGGCTATGCAGAAAACAGGTTATACCATTGAACCTGTCCCAATGGACTTCCATTGAAGCCAAGGTTGATTGACATGGCAGGATGAGAAAATCAGTTCTAGAACCATACTGGTTGAATAAAAACTTCTGGAATTACTGACCATTCAACCTTATATATGTTACATAACTTCTCTAAGCCTCAATTTCCCTATCTGTAGAAAAGGGACCATGTATTATTGTCCTTACAGACAAATGAGATCACGTGCATAAAGTGCATCACACTGGAGTTGAGCTGGCTTGCATACCATGGTTGTGAAGCACATGGGTTCCAGAAACACTGCTTGAATATCCAGTCAAGTGAGTTTCAGTGCATGCCAAACCTTTCTGTGTCTAAGTTTCTTCTTTGTGAATTGAGGTTCTTGGTGCTACTTACTTGAAGGGATGAGTGTTATTAAAGGAAATGTTATGAACAAGTCCTAAGAGCCATGTTCCTCTCTCAATTCTCGTTCATCACAGAGGAACAGAACATGACAGTGGAAGACAAACGACACATTCTGAAGGAGACTTTGCTTTAATATGCGTAGGGCTTTTCTGACATCTTATTTCAGCAAGGGGAAACGTTCATGATTCCAGGAGTCCCCACCAGAGTCAAATGAGTCTAACACCAGATTTTTCCCCCAGATAAATATGGTATTGACCATGTGAAATCCTATCTTTACTCTGCATTTGCCACAATGAATTAAATAAACTATCTTTAATAAATCAATTTTCACAATAGTTACAGATTATTTGAGTACTAGTGTTTAATACATTTGAAAGGTGAGGAATCAAGCTCAGGAAGCCTAAGTAACTTGTGTAAAACCATTCAAGCAAGGGCGTAGTAAATGGGTCTCTCATCACTGTAGCCTGGCTGTGACTCAGCTCATGGTTAGGCTCTTACTCCCACTTAGATCTATCTATTTAGAGCTCCCGAGTAAGCATTTGTTTTCTTTGAGTATTTTAATAGTTTGGTTGGTCTATAGTTCACATATACAATTTAATCATTCAATTATATTAATGATCAATAATATATATTTATAAAGAACATTTTCTTATAGTACTCATTTTTATTAGCTCCCAACTTCCCCCCAACCTCCCCAACCTTCTCCGGGGAAGCAGCAGTCAAGAAATCATGTAATACATTGCATAATGGCTGTACATGATCTCTTTAAAGTCTTCAAGAGCAAGGATGTCACTTTGAAAACTAAGACAGGCCTGACCCAAAGCCTGGTATTTTCAATAGTGTCATATGCATGTGAAAGTTGGATTATGAAGATAAGAAAAGCAACAGAAAAGTGATACGTTTAGATTAGGACACTGGTGAAGAATATGGGTAATACTGTGAACCGTCAGAACAAGCAAATCTGTTTAGGAAATGTACAACCTGAGTGCTCCCTAGGAGGGAGGCTAGATGAGGACACTTCCTCTCATGTACTTTGAACATGTTATCAAGAGAGATTGGTCCCTGGAAAGTAACAACCTCTTTAATAAAGAGTACGGTCAGCAAGACAGAGGAATACCATCCAGGAGACAGATTACCGCAATGGCTGCAGCAATGACTGTAAAGATGGAGCAGGCATGGGCAGTGTTTGGGTTCTGTTTGGTATAGGGTCACGCTAAGTTAGAACAGACTTGGTGACGCCTAATAATAATAATAACATACTTAATTTTAATTTTTCATTTTTGAAATTTAAAAATAGTTTGTGCTCCCTGCATCATTTCATCATTTTCCATGAAAAATGGAACAGTATCCTTCAGTGAGATGAAAGAGAGAAATAATTAGTGTTGTGAGCTATTTTATTCCAATTAAAAACTCCCCTGCTGTTTCATGTTCTTATAATGTCAAATTTTATTTTATTTAAAATGAATTCTAATTGGGTTCATTTTTATAAAGTATTTTTTATTAAAAATGAAAATTGCACTGATATTCATTATGATTTGGATACACTTCAGTAAATATTGGAGATATAATGAA